AGCTTTTACTAATTACTCACCTCTAGTAAGTCTTCTTGATCCAACACACCTTTGAACCATGACCCTGTTATACTTTCAGTTCTTTCAAATTTGAGCTTAGGTTTCTTAACTACTTCTTCATCACAATGTACAAAAATATCTTCATCAGTTGGAGTAAGTGTATATTCCAATTGGGAGGACCTAAGTTGCCTTTAGTTCAAGAGCAGAAGAAGTTAAATATTAGTAACACAAATATATCAAGATTCCCCCCCCCCCTCTTATCTTAAATAAGTTGCTCAATTACTGGTTCAATACTTAGATATATTACTGTAAATAATTTTAAGCTTAGAAATTACCACCTCTTATTTATTTATTTGGAATTTTCAACAAAATCCAGTTAACAGCTTATTCAGGTCTTCAAGCAAGCCCTCTCTGGAAAAGTAGGAACTTTAGTAAAACAAAGTTTTTCAAAGTAGAGCCTTTAGGAGGTGAAAGTAGGGATAATTTAGAGCAGGACTTTGAAACAACATAGAAGAGCCAGACACTTCATTATTCATTTTAACTTTTGCAATTCTATTTGATAAGAAACTAGCTATCCAGAGAATTATAATGGTTGGCAAATTTAATTTTTATAGTTTGAAAGTAATGCATTATGCCAGACAGAAGGCCCATTTGAAATATTCCTACCACTATATGTTTTCAATTGAAGGCTTGAATTACTGATTCTGTTAGTCAGCTGTTTGTCTGTTGTGTCGTGATGAGCAAGAACTAGCAGAAAGTGTATTGCTGCTGGATTTGTTTCCACTCTGTTCTGTAGAACAGTTTTTACTGATTAGAACTAAACTTTACATTAGCCAGTTCTTTGTGTTTGTCTCCCTGTGCAGGTTTCAAGAACTGCTGTTTGACACAATTATCACAAACTTCTGTCTTTTGACAAATACTAGAAACAGTGAAACTAGTCATTTGGCATTGGCTGACACCAACATGAAAGTACATAACCATTATTATCTAACAGGTTAGCTACTGGTGCTGGAAGTGTGTTCTTCCATCCAGCATTTTAGTTATCTACATCACTCTGAAAATATACTTGTTAAAGAGGATATATCAAGCACCACTGCCATGGATACATAAATTGCATAAGCAACAAAACATCAAATGCATGTATCCTTTCCTCTCACTTAATTACATATAAAGATAGGAGGACAGAATTTCTATCAAATTAAAACAGTAGTAATTATGTATTGAAAACTACTATAACCAAGTAACTACCAAGTTTAAAATCTGTAAAAAATTTAACACTTTTTAATAGAGGAGGAAGACTTTAACATAAATAAATTGCAGTTACTCTTGATTTCCATAGAAGAAAATTTTCAGACCATAATTTAGACTACAAACAAACTGTTTCATATTCTTGTATTTCAAATCCTGGTAATTTTTCTAGTGTAGAAAAAATAAAGTATCTGCAAGTAACCAAAACATGCATTTCCCAACAACCAACCTGTTTACTATTGTCAGTCTATCAAAACCACCTTGCTGGTCTATATGATTTCATGAAAACAAACAAACAAAAACTGACAGAATATTCATACGTGAATCATAGTGGGTTTTTATTGTACTTGCATTTCACTAGTATGAGAGTTTAGGGAGGGCAGCAGCCAGTTCCTGATATCAAAAAGGTTGACAAACACTGCTATGTGGTATTTTCTGCATTTTTATGTATTATTTAAACTTAAAAGACATTAAACAAAATTAAAAACATGCAAAAATTTATTTTGTCCTGCAGAGCTTTGCAGGTGTGCGTAAGCCAAGTCTACATTTTCAACCACTTACCCACAGTGTTACCAATAATGAAACCAGAAAAATTATGATACATTTCAGACAATTCTTGTAATAAACTTTTACTGGAACTACCTCAATTACGAATAAACTCAGGCTATTTTATAGTTAATAAAATACTACATAACAAACCTACCTTTCAAAAAATTTGGGAGAACCATCTCCATGACACATTAGCTTAAGAAATGATCGAGATAAAGGGAGAT